ACTTTGTGGTGAACAAACACTTATGTAAAATAAAATAAAAATGCATCAAATCACAATTATAACCAGTAGACAGCAGCAGAGGAGCACTTATTGGCTTATTAGTCATTCATTTATACTTTTTCTCTATATTTTGAAATTATAAAATCACTCTTATAAAATATCAAATGATCAAGAAATCAGATTTTGTCAGAATTTTACACTTTTTTGTATATGAAGTAAGAAAAGTCACAAAGTGCCTTGAAAAGCAAACTTTTCTTCAACTTGCTACTAAATCACACATAATCACTGAAGTTGGTCAGTTCAGTATACTAGAAGAATAATGGTACATTTAATAAGAGTGGAATAGCCTATATACATTTTCTATATAAAAATTTGATTTTCCACCCGTTACTGTTGATAATAAAAGTAAATTTTGTATGCATCTTAACTCAAGCTTAGTGCTTTACTGTCAAATCTGTATAAACAATAAACAAAAGAAAAACAAGAAATGAACATGAACTATTATTAGTAACTGCACTTGCAAAACAATAGTAATTTTATGATTAAATTATCTATATTTTAATACTCCCACACACCACCCCCAGCGCTACCAAATCTGCTCCTGGTGCCACCATCCGTAGAACTTAGTGGCGCTGGTGCCACTGCTCTCAAATGTTAGTCTGGAGCCCTGAAGGTGAAAGTGACTTGAAATTCAAAGGCAATGCCAGCTCTCCTGTAGTGTCAGGACAATTCACCTGGTTATTACAGCTCCATGCAGGCTTCACAGAACCAATGCAGAAACTACTATGACAGTTTCAACTAATTCAACAGTGAGTAATGGTCTATATTGCAAATAAATACAAAAGCAGATTGTATTCTTCCAATATTACTACTTCAGGTTAAAGCAAAATAAATTTGCATTCATGATGATGCTAAATGTTGTGGGTTCCTGCAGCATTGGGGAGTAACTAAAAGTAGTGACACCTGAAGGTGTAATTCACCACTGGCAAGATGGGATTTTGATAAAACTTGGCTGTCCATGCAGTAGAAAGACAATTATTTCTTTTTAATTTGTGCTACGTGACTGAAAAAAAGAGAGAAAAGGTCTGTGGCATTAAATTTTGCTAAAAGCTAGGGAAACTTCAACACACACTGGGCTTGATCCGACTGTCAGTGGGTTGGTGATACCAAAATGCAGAAGTAAAAGCTGTAGTTTTAACTAAAGCCATGAAGCTGTCAAAAGTCCGCCGGATTTTGCATAGCTTTTCCAGTAACAAGACACATTGTACTGTGACTTTACAACTCTTTTATACAGTCCTCTCTCACTGATGTGGCATTAGAGAGTTATTATATTCATTATACGAAATCAGTTGAATGAATTGACATTTATCAACTCAAAAATAATTCCCAGATTAAAGTCCCTAACATGACATTTTTTATATTACTAGATGTTTTGCATTACTATTTTTACTCTGTTATATACAATACAGTTCAATGTTTAGGGTCAGTATGATTTTTAAAAAAAACTTTTTTTTATACTTTTATCCAGCAAGGATGCCTTAAATTGATCAAAAGGGGCAGTATGTATATACATGTATAATGCTACAAAAGATTTCTATTTCAAATAAATTTTTTGTTCTTCAATTACATTTTTTTTTATCATAGTTCCTAAAAATTATTAAGCAGCACAACTGTTTTCAACATTGATAATAAGAAATATTTTCAGCAAAATAACAACAAAAATAAGTAAAATATTTGTTAAATCAGAATATTAGAATGATTTCTGAAGATCATGTGACACTGAAGACTGGAGTAAATGATGCTGCAAATTCAGCTTTGCATCACAGAAATAAATTACATTTTAAAATATATTCAAATAGAAAGCAGTTATTTTAAATTGCAATAATGTTTCACAATATTATTGTTTTTACTGTATTCTTTGATCAGATATATGCAGCTTTGGTGAGCAGAAGAGACTTCTTTCAAAATCATTTGAAAATCTTACCAACCCCCAAACTTTGACTGTTAGCCTAATTTGAAAATATATAACTTATGGTAATTTAATTAAATTAATATTTTTTCTTGTAGATAATAATGTCTGTTTAATTTGAATGATTTCATAATGATGACAAAAGAACAGCACATCTCTTCTAAACAACCCAAAAAAAAAAAAACATTGCTGCACTAGTGAGGTGACAACACTTAAGAGTTAGGAGTAAGAATGAAAAACAATAATATTGATGGCTTCACAAAAACCCCTCTAAAGCTAAATAATATAAACTCAACTGTAACCAAAACAAGTAATTCACCTGCTTGTGAACCAGAACGTACATCATACCGTCAACAGAAGGCCACGAGCCACGAGCAGGCAAAACCTTGAAAAACAAACTTTTCTTCAATTTGCTACTAAATCACACATAATCACTGAAGTTGGTCAGTTCCATATACTAGAAGAATAATGGTACATTTAATAAGAGTGGAATAGCCTATATACATTTTCTATATAAAAATTTGATTTTCCACCCGTTACTGTTGATAATAAAAGTAAATTTTGTATGCATCTTAACTCAAGCTTAGTGCTTTACTGTCAAATCTGTATAAACAATAAACAAAAGAAAAACAAGAAATGAACATGAACTATTATTAGTAACTGCACTTGCAAAACAATAGTAATTTTATGATTAAATTATCTATATTTTAATACTCCCACACACCACCCCCAGCGCTACCAAATCTGCTCCTGGTGCCACCATCCGTAGAACTTAGTGGCGCTGGTGCCACTGCTCTCAAATGTTAGTCTGGAGCCCTGAAGGTGAAAGTGACTTGAAATTCAAAGGCAATGCCAGCTCTCCTGTAGTGTCAGGACAATTCACCTGGTTATTACAGCTCCATGCAGGCTTCACAGAACCAATGCAGAAACTACTATGACAGTTTCAACTAATTCAACAGTGAGTAATGGTCTATATTGCAAATAAATACAAAAGCAGATTGTATTCTTCCAATATTACTACTTCAGGTTAAAGCAAAATAAATTTGCATTCATGATGATGCTAAATGTTGTGGGTTCCTGCAGCATTGGGGAGTAACTAAAAGTAGTGACACCTGAAGGTGTAATTCACCACTGGCAAGATGGGATTTTGATAAAACTTGGCTGTCCATGCAGTAGAAAGACAATTATTTCTTTTTAATTTGTGCTACGTGACTGAAAAAAAGAGAGAAAAGGTCTGTGGCATTAAATTTTGCTAAAAGCTAGGGAAACTTCAACACACACTGGGCTTGATCCGACTGTCAGTGGGTTGGTGATACCAAAATGCAGAAGTAAAAGCTGTAGTTTTAACTAAAGCCATGAAGCTGTCAAAAGTCCGCCGGATTTTGCATAGCTTTTCCAGTAACAAGACACATTGTACTGTGACTTTACAACTCTTTTATACAGTCCTCTCTCACTGATGTGGCATTAGAGAGTTATTATATTCATTATACGAAATCAGTTGAATGAATTGACATTTATCAACTCAAAAATAATTCCCAGATTAAAGTCCCTAACATGACATTTTTTATATTACTAGATGTTTTGCATTACTATTTTTACTCTGTTATATACAATACAGTTCAATGTTTAGGGTCAGTATGATTTTTAAAAAAAACTTTTTTTTATACTTTTATCCAGCAAGGATGCCTTAAATTGATCAAAAGGGGCAGTATGTATATACATGTATAATGCTACAAAAGATTTCTATTTCAAATAAATTTTTTGTTCTTCAATTACATTTTTTTTTATCATAGTTCCTAAAAATTATTAAGCAGCACAACTGTTTTCAACATTGATAATAAGAAATATTTTCAGCAAAATAACAACAAAAATAAGTAAAATATTTGTTAAATCAGAATATTAGAATGATTTCTGAAGATCATGTGACACTGAAGACTGGAGTAAATGATGCTGCAAATTCAGCTTTGCATCACAGAAATAAATTACATTTTAAAATATATTCAAATAGAAAGCAGTTATTTTAAATTGCAATAATGTTTCACAATATTATTGTTTTTACTGTATTCTTTGATCAGATATATGCAGCTTTGGTGAGCAGAAGAGACTTCTTTCAAAATCATTTGAAAATCTTACCAACCCCCAAACTTTGACTGTTAGCCTAATTTGAAAATATATAACTTATGGTAATTTAATTAAATTAATATTTTTTCTTGTAGATAATAATGTCTGTTTAATTTGAATGATTTCATAATGATGACAAAAGAACAGCACATCTCTTCTAAACAACCCAAAAAAAAAAAAACATTGCTGCACTAGTGAGGTGACAACACTTAAGAGTTAGGAGTAAGAATGAAAAACAATAATATTGATGGCTTCACAAAAACCCCTCTAAAGCTAAATAATATAAACTCAACTGTAACCAAAACAAGTAATTCACCTGCTTGTGAACCAGAACGTACATCATACCGTCAACAGAAGGCCACGAGCCACGAGCAGGCAAAAGGGCAGAGAAAATGAGAGGAAGATGTGATTTTAAAAGGCTTTCAGCGGGCATTAGCTTCCACCGGCTGCTGCGAATCTCAATCACATGCTTTGAGAGGTGCTGGGCTGACTCCAGAACAGAAAGGCTGTGGCTGGAGTCAAATCCTTTCAATTAGAGCTAGAGAGCGGAGCCATGTGGAGACGGGCGAAAATCTCATCAATCCTGCTCAAGGAGTGTGGACGGCCGAGCCTCTCGAAAGCTCCTCCTCGGCCGGCTGAGGTTTGAGTTAGATTGACTGCGCAGCTGGGAAAGAAAATCAATTCTGGGCTCCACATTGTGATTTTGTTTATCAGTGGAACTGCCTCAGAGGAGAGGCGGCCTCGCTCTCTGACTCTTGAGGAAGGGGGATGTGACAGCTGAAAAGAAAAGACTGACACAGGAAACCCAGAGCAGTGGGAAAAGACATTTAAAGAGGGTATATGTGGGGGAGGAGAGAAGAAAAGAGAGGCAAAGCAAGCCAGGGTGAAAGTTAGACAAGGCTGCAGTTACCTGTCTCCTGTGTGCTTCCTGTTTCTGCAGTCTCCATTCCATCTGTGCTGTCTTCATCCTCCACCAGAGCTTTCCCTCGCCCCCGATTCCTGAGAAAGAGACATTTATTAGCACGCTTGCTTCAGGGAAGACTGGTTGAATTAGTTAAATACAGTCCCAGCTGTCGCTGATTCCAAAGCGAGTGTCCGCTGGCCCTGGGTGGGGCGGCCATGTTTGTGTGTGGGCACATTTGTATACGTGCACTGAAGGGGAAGTAACGGGAGCGAGACCTCTCATTAAAGCTTCTGTTCAATGCACGAGCATCATGAAGATGTCATTTCCTCATTTACTCAGAAGCCCTGAGGGCGGATGCACAACCCTGCTCTGGTGTCGCCACTCAAACCTAGATTGCACACTCAACCGGGTTTGATCTTCTTGGGGACTCATTCGCACAGGCAGCGTCCAGTCAGATCAGGTTTGGTCTGTTCACAGCATATGTGAGCATTTGAGCAGTGTGCTTCATCATGTGGTTTGCGTGAGATGTAATTTCACATTAATTAGCATTTTTACTCGAATTTAAAAGCCTGAACAATTATATACAATGAAATAAAAACCATTTATGGGATTAAAGCTTTGCTGGACACATGCATCTTGAAAGGAAAATAACAGTCTAACCAGAAAAGCAGAAAATGGTCTCTAGGTGTCAAGTGATGAAAAATAAGAGGGCTTGGAGATGTTGGGTGAGAAGGAAATTCATTTCAGAGGCCGAGTAAGAAAAAAGCTTTTGTGCACTGTTAAATGGAAGTGCATTTCCATTTCCACCTCAGAATAAAAAAATATAACATTTAAAAGAAACACTCCACTATTTTTGAAAATAGGCTCATTTTCCAACATGGTTTCTCCCGTTTATTATTATTATTATTATTTATTTTTGGTTAATGGACCATCTCCTACTTTTATAATGAATAAAAATTTCCAAAAATATTATATGGTTAAATCTATCTGACCAAACATTATATAGATATTTTAATTCAAAATCAAAAGAAAAAAAATATATATATATTTTGCATAAATAAATAAAATGTGTATTACAGCATTGAGAATCTAATGAGAAAGTAACATTTTTATTTAATTTGTATTACTTAAATGTAATTTTATTTTGGTTGTTTTGAGGTGGTATATGACCTGCACATGTTTACATGAGATTCCTCTACATATATATATGATAACTGTCCATATACAATAAAAATCAGTCATTAAAATGAATATTGTTAAGTCTTTCAAATGTGAACTTTCATGTCCTGGTATTAGAGACACTGTTAAGTACTGCCACAAAATGCACAGCAGACTAATAGAGAAGAAAAGTCAACTATTATCTAGTTATTCAAATAAATCAGGTTAATCATTTAAACCCATTATGATGATTATATTTATTCAGATCATTAAAACAGGCATGCGATGTGTGCAGAACAACAACCCAGGTTTCTTCACAGTGTGACGGAATACACTCCGTAAAAAAAAATCTAAATCTTATTCTCAGTCCACACATATTCCCAATCCTATAACATATCGCGTAGTCCTATTGTCTGCAACTCTAATAAAACAGACCTGGGAGCCATTCTCATCACGATCCACCAATTGAGAACCAGCTAACAAGCACATATCCATCTACAGCCAAACATCCATTTCTACACATCCGGCCCACAAATGCGCAAAAAACTAATTAAATGTAATCTTTTAAAAAATCTTTATCAGTCTTTGCCACTATCCTTCAATCCACTGGGTTTTACCCATTTGTTGGCATGGCATTTTTAATCCTTTAAAATATATAAAAATTTAATATGATCATTTTTTCTTTTATATATTTTAATAAGTACATGTCAGAATAAACATGTCGTTTAATTTTTACATAAATAAACAAAATGTTTACTGAATGACAATGGAACATTATTTCACCCAGATTTATTTAAAGTAAAATATTTTTTTTAATCTCATTTCTCAGGTCTATCTGTAGGCCAAATCAACATATATAAAATATTAACATACAACCAAATAAAAAAATGCAATAAAATTATAATACTTATAATAATAACATAAAACAATTTACTGAACTAAAATAAACATATTTATGCACAGTTATATAAAATATGTATACAATATTAACTAAAAATTAACAATATAAATGAAAACAGAAAATGTGTATTATTCACATTTTGTCAAGCTTTCAGTAAATTACATTGTTGTTAATCAACCAAGCAGGAAAACCTATCGGTTGATGCTGATAATCTCAAAAGAGCTGATATAAATTAACTTGAACATTGCCAAATGCAAGTAAAAATGGTCTTTGTAGAATTTCATGCCAGTATATCTTCTCTTTATTAGGAACTACAACCAACTGATACATACTGAAACTTTTTTTTCCCCCTAAAAACCACCAAAATAAAAATAGGAAGAACAAAATCACAATGTGTTTACGTTTTTGTGCCACTGGCTCATCTCATACTGTGAGCGACAAAATGATGATGAGGTATCTGTTCGTAACAAGATAATAATTGAGCAAAATAATCCCATTATCATAGGGACAAATATGTATTTTTAAACAAAAACGCTAAATACAGCTTCACTGTTGAAACATTTATTGCCTGTAAATATGGCCAACCATTTGCATGAGCTCATATGAGTAAGTAAACAAAGACTGGAGTCTGAGCTTAATGTATCTAGTTCAAATATTACTTGTCAGAGGACAAAGACGTTTGTAAGCTGAGCACCAAGGTAGCCAATGGGAAAATCATTTAGCACACATATAACACAAACATGCTAATTTAGCACATCCCTATATGCCACACAATGAAGCTAATATTGTTCAGACAGGTTCATTCATAATGCACTTCAGTTTCGATTGATTTGGACCGTATACCTTTAGAGTACATCTTCAGCTATTCAAACTGGTTGGATGGAGGCACCACAGAATGAATTGTGTTAACGCCCAAACCCAAGATGGCTCTGTAGTAGACAGAAGATTAAATATGTAATCACGATTCCCAGACAGCCAAACATCAACTCTGTCTGGATGAGGAAACATGAAAATGTCCTACTTATGAATGGTCTTTATTGATGTCAACGAACAAACGGAACAATATTTGAACAGCTTTTCTGTAGCTCAAACAGTAGAGCATGGCGCTAGCATTAGCAACACCGCGGTCATGGGTTCGATTCCAAAAGAATGCATGAATGCAATGTGAATCCCCTTGGATAAAAGTGTCCGCTAAACTCATAAATGATATTCATTTAATTTCAACATTAAAAATGCCATTCGCAAACCATTTTACTTCCATAATGGGATTTGGTGAAACGGTATTCAACGAGAATAAAACTGAATGAAGAATATGGCATCATGAAAATTTTAATGGCTGATTTAAATTACGTTTAAATACTAGACCTTAGTCTCATTCAGGAATAACATCATAGCCTGACAGGTATGATGTCATTTAGCCTCCACCTGCAATTGCCAGTCATGTGTCACTACGTAATGCTGACGTTGTTTGTTTTAAAACCCTGTGTTGGCTCTGCAAAGCGTTAAATGTCACAGGTAAAATAAAAATCGTCATTCAACACAGACATTTAAAACTTGGTATTTTTGTGCATATATACACATAGGTACTGGTCTATGTGTTCGCAAAACGAAAAGAGTTAGAACACAGTAATGCATGGCCCATTTAGACGTGCTCGGCACCCAACCCCCAAGCCCAGAGACCTATAACTTATCCCCATGATCCCACCATAGAATGAAAGAGAAAAGTAGAAAGTAGAGCCAACACAGGATTTTGGTATAAATCCTGGAGTGGAGTTTTATGGAATGGATTTCAAATGTGATGCAAACAGACCCAATGGTTACCTTCAAAAATATGCGATCAAATTCAATCGAACCCTTAGAGACCCACTAAACTGAAGATGTAGGCTAAAGCAAGCAACAAAAGGGACTGTAAAACAACAAACTGAAGAATTCTTTTATTAGCTGTGTTTGCCAAGGCAAGCAGCACTATTGCTATCATTAACAATTAAGGATTTCAACCAACATATAATACTAAATATTAAATGTGTAATTGGTCAAGCACTGTTTGTGATACAGACTTGAATGACACCTCAAACCACGTGGCTTGATGAGGAGAGGAATGCCGTTATTTTTCTAAGCATTCAGACTTCTTGGCAGATGATAAGATGGGTGAAAAAAACCCAGATTACACTGAATGGAATATCATACTTGGGTTTGGATCTGTTGTCTTGGGCTAGTAAGCAACCACAACACTGCGAACCTACAGCCTCAAATTACCTTAGCAACCGCATAGCAACCACCCACAACACCCCTAGCATCATGGTTGCAGCTTTTCCACAGGAAAGGTAAGGTACTATTAATTTCATATTGACTTTGATTTTTGTAGGAAATTTAACCCAATTCTTAATATATTACAAAACCATGAATTATAATGTCTAATAAGTGTTCGATTAAATACTTCACAAAGGTCATGTTTTCGTCAAGAATTGATGACATTCAGATCACTGAGATATGATTTTCTGTAGAAATGCTTTGAAATAATATGCATAGTAAAAAAAAAAAAAAATTACAAACACAAAAATATACAAATAAACCCAAATTTACAAATAATTTACACTTTTTTTTTTAATTAGGAAGTTGATGGACACCAAGCAAAAGTCCTGGCATCTTTACATCATGAAAGACTTAAAGGGATAGTTCCCCCAAAAAAGAAAATTACCCCATAATTTACTCACCCTCAAGCCATCCTAAGGTGTATATGACATTCTTCTTTCAGACCAATACAGTTGGAGTTATATTAAAAATATCCTGGTAATCGCAGTGAATGGGTGGTGATATTCAATAGAAATCCAATAAACTGTGCACATCCATCATAAAAAGTACCTCACATGGCTCCGGGGGGTTAATAAAGACCTCCTGAAGCGAATCAATACGTTTTTGTAAGAAAAATATCCATATTTAAAATGTTATAAACCGTAATCTCTAGCTTCCGCTAACTGTCGTGCGCGCGTTCATGAGAGTGGTGTTCCAGCGGATGACATAGGCGTAGCATAAGCTCCTGTGAGAATATGCCAGTCTCGCGAGAACCAACGTTTGTTTACAGGAGCAAAAGGAAGCAAAGGAAAACCAGTCTCTTGGCTTATATCGAAATCCTCTGACATTTTCCTTTACAAATCCTCATTTTGTACTTCTAATTTGTGACCAGGTTTTGTTTTGCTCTCTCCGTTGCGCTTCCACATTCGTCACTTCTCACCGGAGCTTACGCTACGCCTACATCCTACATCATCCGCTGGAATGCCACTCTCTCGTGAACGCACGCACGACAGTTAGCGGAAGCTAGAGATTACAGTTTATAAAGTTTTAAATATGGATATTGTTCTTTCAAAAACTTATCAATTCGCTTCAGGAGGTCTTTATTTACCCCCGGAGCCATGTGGGACACTTTTTTATGATGGATGGGCGCAGTTTATTGGACTTCTATTGGACTATTGAATAATACCACCCATTCACTGCCATTGTAAAGCTTGGAAGAGCCAGGACATTTTTTAATATAACTCCGATTGCATTCATCTGAAAGAAGAAAGTCATATACACCTAGGATGGCTTGAGGGTGAGTAAATAATGGAGTAATTAAAATTTTTGGGTGAACTATCCCTTTAAGTTTTACAAGACTCTTATATTTGAATATTTGGTATGATATGCATTTAAATGTTGATGTTAAATAGCTGATATAAGCAGAGCTGCAAATTCCATATTATGAATTCAATATATTAATTAATTCTATATTACACTACCATTCAAAAGTTTGGGGTATGTACATTTTTTTTTTTACATATATAAATTTATTATGTTACAAAAGATTTCAATTTCAATATCTATTTTAAAAAAAGTATCATGGTTTCCACAACATTATTAAGCAGCAAAATTGTTAACATTAATATGAATCAGAAATGTTTCTTGTGCACCAAATCAGCATATCGGAATGATTTCTGAAGGATCATGTGACACTGAAGACTAATGATGAGAAGAGTAATGATGCAGAAAATTCAGCTTTGCATCACAGGAATAAATTACATTTTAAAATGTATTAAAATAAAAATAGAAAGAAAAAAAAAACGGTTATTTTAAATGTTAATAATATTTTATAATATTACAGTTTTATTGTACTTTTTATCAAATAAATGCAGCCTTGGTGAGCATAAAAGACAACGTGGTGTTGTGCAGCTTGCCTGTGAACAACGGCTCTGTGTAGTAAATGCTGCTTCATGTGAAAGCACGCACGTGATGGAGATTTACCGCTGATTACAGAAGCGTCTTTACTGACAAGATGCGCATTAAATATCGCATGCGATTTATCGTGCAGCCCTAGAAAACAACACATTATTTTACACCAATGGACATCCATTTTAAAATAAAATGGGAAATAAATTTGCTGAAGTCCAACCACAAACACGTAACTGATTGGTCTGTTGTTGGTGAACATTTTGAGGTGACATGCAGCTTTCATGTCATCAATGTTGACAGCATCCAGTTTACATTGCTTCCAGCTTAGACAAAGGTTGATGATACACGGGGCAACTTTTTTTGAGCAGTGTTGCTTGGGTACTTTCTCACTGAAAATAGACCTATCTGGATACTTAAGATTGGTCATGGGCCCTGTGTATAACCTGGTTGCCCATAACCAAAGTTGCCCAGCAATATTGCTCAAAAAGTTGCCCCGGTGTATCATCAGCCATAGAGTTTGACCAATAGGATTAATTTAATAAGAATATACAGTACTAACACTATTCTTCATTTTTAAGACCAATAATCCTCATTTTTTTAAGACATTTAGACTTCCAATTTTATTCAATAATGACAGCAATTTCGAAGTTTAATTGAACTTACTTCTTTCTCTGTCTGGGCACAGACTGAAGCGGTGTTGCTGTGGATAACACGTCCTTGCGAGGGCGGCCCCGGGGCCGCTTATCTGTGGGGGCCGGACTTCCAGTGGGAGTGGCCCCAGAGCTGCTAGGAGGTGGCGAGGGTCCTTTGTCAGAGGGGTCTAGACTTTTCTCCTCTGATGACATTCTGTGAGAAAAATTATGTACAAGTAATATATTAGTTTCACAAAAATAATGATGCTACAAAATGCTACATTTCCAGGAACGCTTTCAACGCGGCAAGTTTTAAAACACAACATTCTCCAACCAGTGAGGTTTTAATTCTATTTTTATTAAACACTGGTAACGCCAGAGGACAAAATAATCCCCGAGCTTAGTACTAAAATATTTTAATAAGCTCATATGATTTGCTCATAATACGGAGTCCAACTCTCAACTGAACCACCATGAAAATTAGTCAAAATAAGTGTTAGCACACTTTATTAATTCCAATATAAACAATCCTCACAACGCTGTTTAGTTGTTACGTTTGATACCAGAGCAAAAACCAACACACTTCAAATTTTTCACTCAATTTAAAAGAGTTATGTGATTTTTTTAAAAGGAAGTTCAGTTCTTGAAATGATGGGAAATCGATCTATAAATTAATCTATCTATAAATAATCATTTTTATCTTGTGACATATTAGCACAGCATGATGTACATGGGTCTCTATGCTCCAATAAAGAGTAAACACAACACAGTTGTAGGTGACAGACCAAGTTTCGGTCATGTTTTTGTATTCTTTCTGAATGTTGTGCACATTGTTAGTCGCTGCTCTGCTGGATCCCCAGTGCTGACCCTTGCGCCTGCTCTGCGTGGTGCTTCTGCCATCCTGTCCACTCAGCTGACAAGGCATACTGCCAACGGGATGCTGTCTTTTCCGGGAACTACGTGGGATCCCTCCCTGGGCTGCTCTCATTGTATCCTGCCTTGAGTAAACAATTAGACCTCACATGGTTGAGTTAAGCCTTCAATGAGGCTGTGTGCATTGCTATTAGTGCATACGTACACAATGTCTGTGGTAGCGGTTTAAAGACCTCATGAAATGACTTGGTGAAAGCATTTTTCTTTCGTGTTGATTTCCTACTGAAACAGGAAGCTGGGGAGAACGAATCGAAGAAACTATCTCCTATTTTTAAACAGCCATATTTCAGATAAATAGTGTTCATATCGATATCGGAATTATATCGTATCGACCGAAATTAAGAAATATATCGCAATTTTGGCCATATCGTCCAGCCCTAGCCAGAAGGCTTTAGTTTACATCACAGCTGAGACGCATGAGCTGCTACATGCTATTGCTAGAAAAAGGCTATATTGGGGGAGGGACATTATCATTCTAGAGAGCATTTGATTGGATAAACATTTGTTTACGCCCCTGAGTGCAAGATGACTCATCAATATTTTCAGTTCTTTTTCACAGAAGAAAAAAAAACTGCATACATCCGCTGCATTTAGTTTGTCAACTTAAAATAAATGAGACATGAACTAAAAAGTCGCAAAACTCCAATTCTGATTTCATGAGGTCTTTAACAGGAGAAAATATCAGCATATGGACCTGACGTATAATGACAAGGGTTTAAAGGTGTCTTTTAAAACTATTCTAACACAATACATCTGCAGAGTTCATAGCAAACATCAGCCCGTGGTTAACATCTGCATCAGCCTTGCAAGTGCAAAGGATTTCCAAACCTCTCAAGAGGTATTAAAAATACATTAAAAAAACTAAATAAGTTATTTGTAAAGGTTACAAAAGGATACAGACCTTTGAATCTTTCCCTCTATTCACTCTGCATGTACAGAATAACGCTGCTTCATAATTATCATTAACCTCAATGGATTCATTTTACGACAATTAGTTACATTTTTGTATCTCTACATGCAATTTAAAGTTTTCACTTAAGTTTTAGTCAGATGTAATGACATTGATCATAAACAGGTTTTTCTAACACAACATGGTAGCAGCACCAGCTAATGCATTCACATGTACATTATATTTGTGTTTAAAATGCATTAATGTATATTTGTGTATCTTTGCCGTCTACATTTGATACTGCTGCGATTTTGCACCTGCATTTCCCATTGGGCTCAATAACAATCTACATAAACTCTATAAAACTAAATGTACTTGATGTGGTAACAACTAACCTAAATGGTTAAATTCAAGTAAAAAGTTATTTAATATAATACTCAAATCAACTTAACTTAACAATAGGGTTAGAGGGCCTACTGTGTGTACCCTAATTTCCCAATGAGGTTCAATAAAGACCTATCCATCTAGCTATGCCATTTGGATCTCTAATGTCTCCATCTATCTATGAAATGATGAAGTAGCATTCAATCAGCCATGTATACAGGACTTCTTTTGAAGTTAACTAGATTTGTGTTTAAAATGCATTAATGTATATTTGTGTATCTTTGCCGTCTACATTTGATACTGCTGCGATTTTGCACCTGCATTTCCCATTGGGCTCAATAACAATCTACATAAACTCTATAAAACTAAATGTACTTGATGTGGTAACAACTAACCTAAATGGTTAAATTCAAGTAAAAAGTTATTTAATATAATACTCAAATCAACTTAACTTAACAATAGGGTTAGAGGGCCTACTGTTTGTACCCTAATTTCCCAATGAGGTTCAATAAAGACCTATCTATCCATCTAGCTATGCCATTTGGATCTCTAATGTCTCCATCTATCTATGAAATGATGAAGTAGCATTCAATCAGCCATGTATACAGGACTTCTTTTGAAGTTAACTAGAGAGTGAGTCAATCAAATGCACGAATACTTTTGAACACCATTCATAAGGTACGTACAATGCATACCTCACAAAAAGATATACTGGAAATGATTTGATATCACAACACATGCAGGAACCAGAGGGACAGCCTTGGTGAAACAACAGAAGCACACAAAGCAAGTGCTTCTTCACATGAGGGGGGCATGTCCAGCTTTTTGCCTTTGTTCAGTTGTCTCCAGAGCTTTGTTTCAAAACCTTATATACGCAGGGTGCCAATAATACCATCATGCCATGAAATACTCCAACGTTTTCCATACTTAATATTTTTTATAAAACGGGAAAAACACTACTCTGAAGGAGAGAGTCGGATTTGAACTCTTTAGGGAGTCCAAAGGCTAAACCTACCTGCACGCCAAGTATCTCTGCTCTCCAGAGACGCAGCATTTATGATGATAATCGCATGCCAAGTGGTGTGAGAGTGGAAATATGACTGTAAATGCGCAAGAAAGGCTATAAGTGGATACAGTAGAGGCCTTGCAGCCCGTCTGATTAACTTGTGAACGTTACTCAAGCCTGAAGTCGCCTATCCAAGCGGGAATCATATAACGGCCAATTAAAGGCAGTGGACACTAAAGATGCAGGGCGTTTTTAGCCGTACTTTGATGGTTTTTATAGTAAATAAGGAGGTTAGCGAGAATATAAGATGAAGAACAGCTGCACACTCGGTCGAAATGAAGTGTTCGCGTGCAGAAAGGCGACAGAAACGACAAAAGCGCTCGCAAATATTGGCGAGAAACACACACAACACACTCGTCGATCGATATTTACTTACCTCTTCGACCCTAGCAATTTTTATTTATTTCCTTCATGACATGAACCGTCATATACGTGACTTATAGTACTTTTGTTTAGTGTTTGTGGCGCTGGGGGGGTTGGGGAGGAATACACCACTATTCCTCAGGGAAAATAAGCCAGCGTGACAAAGCGATATCTTCTGCGATTCTGTACACGTATTCCAGTAAAATCCACTTTTATGTGCGGAAAATCTGCAATGTGTAATCCATAGGCAGAAAGCACCCGCTTTCCTTCGGTTTGAGCGGATCACTTTTCTTTATTCCGCTTCATCCCACATCGCCAAATCCTCGCGGGTTACATCCCTCATCCGAAAACAAGCCATACCGACCGCTATCTGAGCTCCTGCGAGGAGATGACAGGAGCCGAGCCCTGGCCACATTCGAGAAAATACAGCCCAAAATATCCTCGAATGAGGGAAAACCGAAAGCAGATTTCGCTTTCAAGCCTGACGATTTCGATCAACTCGCGGAGCAAGCTGCAATTTCGAGCAATAGGCTTTTATTAACGCTAAACACGTCGAGATGATCTCCTTTCCTGGGTATTCACAATTTGTACAAGCAAAAAACGATTATTGGACGCGACTGTAGAACGGAGAATAACGTAAAACGTTACATTTCTGCATTGGTACAAATATTAAAGTTGTAGCTTTGACTCCATGGTAGCCATATTTGAGTGTAACCGAATCACGCCCTGCGAGCGACACCATGATAAATAGTGCCACAGCATTAAACACGGCACTCAGAGGAATGACACCTTCTCATTTAGAAGTGAATGCCGTTATCCTTCATAATAAGACTAGAATGTATTTTTAAATAACATAATGGCGGTTTCACAAACGCCAGTGCAAAATAAAAATAATATAAACTGACTCTGCGGAGTGATACGTTGGAGCGCTCAGCAGGTGAGGCGACTTTTTTTTCACGCACAGAATTTCTGCAAAACGCGGAACGGATTCTCGTACAAGAACCAATCGGCCGGTCTTCAGTCTCCATCCAGGCCATGAGGTCATGTGGTTGTGTTCCATTGACTTTAAAGGGATACTCCACCCCAAAATGAAAATTTTGTCATTAATCACTTACCCCCATGTTTACGGTTGAACCACTGATGGCAGATGGACTATTCTGACGATGCTTTTCATACTTTTCTGGACCTTGACAGTGTATTTTACTTGGCAGTCTATGGGACAGTCACAAGCCTCCCGGTTTTCATCCAAAATATCTTAAATTGTGTTCCGAAGACGAACAAAGCTTTTACGGTTTTAGAACGACATGGGTGTAAGTGATTAATAACAAAATTATCATTTTGGGGTGGAGCACCAAGAGCTTGTAACACTCCAAAGAGAAAGGAAAAATTGACATTACCATCATAAAATAGCTTATTTAGATGTGTGAACTGCATTTGTAAATTGCTCAATAACAAGTTACCTGGAATATTTCAAAATATATTTTCAAAAGAACACTGAGATAAAGCACAAGTCAGGAGATAAACACATATAAACACATTATAAATTATGATTAAAAAGACTAAAAAGAGGCTGGTGGACATTTTGAATGTGCAAGTAAGTCTTTAGCGCAAAAATTGGTCATAATTACCTATGACAACAAAATTAGAAGCATTCTAGGCTGGAAAAGAGCAAAAACACTCCTTTAAATCCACAATGAGTTTTATTCTTATATATTTTCCTTCTATATAAATAAATAGGCCTACACTCTAAAAAATGCTGGGTTAAATACAACCCAGTGCTGGGTAAAATAGGGACAAACCCAGCAATTGGGTTGTTTTGACCCAGCGGTTGGGTTAAATGTTTAACCGTCCCTATTTTACCCAGCACTAGGTTGTATTTAACCCAGCATTTTTTAGAGTGTATATATATATATACTTTTTTTATTTTTTATTTTTTATTTTTTTATAAAAAATGTGCATGAATGTTATATTAAAAATATGTCATCATGCATTTAGATAGACAGTGGTGTGAAAGAGAAGAAATATTAACATGCCTTCACAACCACATTTCCTCAGGCTGTATAAACTCCTTGGTCAAGTCATTTGTGTACAGCTGTTGACAGAAAACAGTTAATGTGGGATTACATATTAGTTTTAAGAAACTTTTGAAGTGCAGTATACTCACCCATACGTAATATAAAACATATTTCGTAAAACAGGATACAAAATAGCCACATTACAACATTCACCTCACATCTCTGTCCTAATGGGAAACTGAAACTTTTTTCTTTTTTTTTTTCAGATTTAAATATTTTCTTTTAGCAGGTTATTTTCTCATCCACTGTTTGCAGCTTCACATCTATGTGTCTAACAACTGTAGATCTCGGTGCAGTAATAGGAAGGTGACGTGTTTCGTACAGTATGCTCACTCATCCGAGGGGAAAGCTAATGCTAATTTACCCATGTTTTTACCTTGAAGAAGTCTCAAACTAAGTTTTCAATTATGCTGCACAGCACAAAACAGAGAACAATAACAAACAAACAAAAAACAATTATACAGTAGGTTACAAAACAATGTTGTCCAGTTTTAGATTACATCAGTGAAATATGCAGAATAAATGGAAACCTAAAAGGCATTTGTGATTTTATATCTCACAGTTTGATTTTATATTCCTCAATGGGGACTTTTTTTTTAATCATATTAAAAAATTTAGCTCACAATACTTATTTTTTATACTGCCAAAAGTTTTCATATAAAAGAATAGGGAGTACTGTGGTTAAAATCACTTCCTTCCTGGAGTGTCTGAATAGCTTAGGTTTAAAAACAAATAAATAAAAACATTTTAAAATTTTAAATTCAGATAAAAATGTATCTACATAATGATGGTTAGCTTACAAACACTTGAAATAAAACAGAAAATTATAGCCTATATATCTTATATAAGGCAAAGTTATATTCACATACTGTACATGTTTATCTAAATTACTTTAGAAACAATGTTTCAAGAACAAACTACTATGAAATATTTTGTTAAAAATGTTAACTAGTCTTTTTACAGTTATTTCTAACTTGCATGGCTAGGGGGCAGTGTGACACTTCGCACTGTTCTTCAGCGTGTGATAGATCTTCATGAGCAAGGATGCACACACACACACACACACACACAAACACACACACACACACACACATGTCTGGTCAGGATTTATTAGCTTGTTTACCCGTGGGGACCTCAATTTAGGTCCCCACCGTGACACGAGTCCCCATGAGTCTGTGTGTATTCAGGTTTAAGTCCCCACCAGAATAGAAAAACAGGTACACACATACACACACACACACTGTCATGAACTTTTCATCTGTTAAAAGAAGTTGTATAAACATTGATATGAACTGGAATTAATGTTTTGAATGGGTCTTTGAAAATGAAAAATACTTCCTTAGACAAGTTTTATGAATTTCAAAGAGAAAAGGCATCCAGTCATTCAAGTACATTCATCTACTGTAGCCCTATATGTGCCTTTCTTAATCTTATTGTGGCACACTGTGCTTGACTGTATGTCTTTGATCTGTCGCTATGAGATCTGCATGTCAGATCAAATGTTTAACAAAGCAGACAGGGACTGTAGATCTAAATGGCAAACATTACAAATCAGTTGTGGCTACGGACAAAATTGAGGGCCCATAGCCATATTTTATTTGAAACTGCATTCATGACTCACTTTACTTCTGTATTGTGACTGTATAGGCTACTTAAAGCTGCAGTCCGTAACTTTTTTGTATTCAAAATGTACAAAATTGATATAATAAGCGAGTACACCATGAATCCATTTTCCAAACCGTGTTTTTGGCTTGCCCTGAATCACTACGGTACACCTATAATAAGTGTTTATATTCGGACTATAGACTGGTTCGAGTAGGTACCGCTGCGGAGGAGCCCAGTACCTGACTACCTACGTGATTCGCCGTAGATATAAACAGAGAGAAGTAGCTCCGGCTACAATGTTCTTCCGCAAGACGCACGCAGTTCTGTTTATTAACCGCTAGAGCGCCAAAAGTTACGGACTGCAGCTTTAACTGTATTCTAAATGAAAACACTATATTAAAAAAAAAAAATCTGGTAAAGCTTCTTTTTCAAATCTAACATGATTTGCTATTACTGCCGTAACCACCAGTACTTATTAATCACCATTAAAATTCTCTGTTGAAGGAATAGTTCTAACAAAATGAAAATTGTCATCATTTACTCAACCTCTTGTCATACTACACCTGTATGACTTACTTTCTTTTGTGAAACAAAAAAAGTTATTTTGAGAAATTTTTTAGCTTTTTTTTTTTTTGTCCAAAACCAACATTCTTCAAAATATCTTTTGTGTTAAACATAAGAAAGTACAGTAAGTCATATAGCCTATGTTTGGAACGACATGAGGGTGAGTAAGTGATGACAGAATTTACATTTTTGGGTGGACCATCATAACTTCTGGCAAGATTTTAGAAAAGCTACAACAGTAGCCGATAACTACAGCTGTTCAGGTGACATTAACAGCAATGCAGCCTAGATGAGCTGGAAAGACGAGCTGATTGAAGCAGAACAAGTTTGTTAGATGCAAAATTATGAAAACATGTTCTTTGGAATAATGCAAACTGATGAATTGCTCACAATAAGACAAGGGATGTGTGTTAGGGTACAGTTTTAATCAACACTGTCAAGATAGAGAGAGAGAGAGAGAAAGAGCTTTGATCAGCAGTTTCCAAACAGTTCTTCATCATTTATAAATACTTTCTCCATTTGTGTGTAGTATTTATCCAGTTCTAATTTTACACCGACACGCCAGCATTTATTTTATTAGTATATTCTGCAGTGGCCGAAGTTGGCGCAAGACATATCAAAGAACTTGTCTCTTTAAAAAAAAAAAAAATTGGCGTTGGAGGAGAATTCTCATTCTAGAACATTTTTATTAGACAAATTTTTGTATAAGTGTATGCATGCAAGACAAGTCATCAATATTCTTGGTCCGCTTTCCAAACACCAATCTACAAACTCACCTTCAGCTGGTCTGTGGACAAAAGAGAGGAAAAAGAAGACAGTCCAACAGCCCAGTGAGAGAAAGACTGTGACAGGACACAGTTCAAGCAAGATGTTTTAATGCATTTTGAGGAATATAGAATCTATGTTTCATGTGCCAGTGAGATAAGAAAGCACACTTTTGCATTAATCTACATCTGTCCGCTGTCTACATGCATGTAGTACAAATAATTTGCCAAACCCATACATTAAATAATTTAGACAGAGAAAAATATAATATGAAATATTATTGATTAAAAAACATGTATAAAAAGGCTTCAACACATTACAAAAATAATTTTAAAGAATCTCACAAGCTCACAGCCTTTATTCCATTAAAGTCTGGGAAAAGTTGTTATATTTTTTTAAATACTGCAGGTTTTCACTGTTTGCATTCAAAATGCGCTTTGAAAAAAATGTTTGTTCTTATGCATAAGATGAGTAGAAGAGTACCTCTTGTATTTCATGTTCATGCACACTTATTACATATGTGCATACTGTATATTAGTGGAGACTGAGGATCAGGAAATGTGACCAAAAGCCCATATTTTTCTTCACTATAGTGACTTTTAGTGGACTTTTAGACATCAGAGCTCAGACCAAATGTGACCAAAAGCTCATTTTCTTCACAGTAGAAATACTTAGGATTGTTGGT